TATTCTGACTTTATTTTTACCTGCTCAGCAATGAACTTTACGGGCAGTATCCTAATAAAACGGAGTAATCAAATGTTTGTATTAATGGGGTCAATGGAGTTTATGTTTCCTGATTTAAAACAAAAGTACAAGTTTTCCAGTTTTTTGCTTTGAATGTTTTCTGTTTTGTTCATTGTTCTTAATCTGTTGTCTGTAAGAACAATAGGTCTCTTATTTTTGGAAAACACTTATTTTTTAAGTTTTTTTAACAACTGCACCAAAGTTTGTGTTAGAGTAAAATTTATTGGTTGTTCGTGGTCTAAAAATTTAATTAAAATGGGGGGAAAAAGTCTAATAAAAGACAAAAACTTTTATAAAAAGTTTTATACCTAGTGTTTTCAATTTTAAGAAGATTTTAGTTGGTCATTCAGAGTGCGTTCACACCAGCCCTGTTTAGTTTGTTTTAATCCAAATCCAGTTTGTTTGCCTTGATAATTAAACTCTTAAAAAGAGCAAACTCTGATCCGTCTACAAACCTTGGTCTCTGTTCAGTTGACGTGAACTCTGGTGCGCTTTCAATGCATATGTGAACACCAAGAGGACTGGAGACCGCTTTTAAGAGCAGGACGCAGACTACAGAGCAGGGCATTCTGGGTAAACAGCCGAAATAAATGTGTGTGTTTAGCGCTAACAGGAGATATGGCTCATGGTCAAAAAAAAGAAATCCTATAACCGCTAAAATCGGACACCACTCCATTTTTGTTTGCTTTGTGTGGGGAAGGATGTTGGATTCAGAGTCTACTTCTGAGATTTTTGTGTTGTTTTCCTTCAGTGGTTCTTGGTCCAGCGCCTCCTCAGGTGATGAGGGGAACAGGTTTTTCAAAAGGTCTGGTCGGTTTGACACGGTGAAAGAAAACTGCAGCAGCTGAAAATATAGCAAATCTTGTAATTTCAGTGCCCAATTGAGCAAAGTCTCCTGGACCATTAGGTGTGAAACCATCTGTGTTGTCAGACCAAATTTATACCAGTCTTGAATTGCAGTTGGCGGGTGGGTACTAAAGGTACCACTTTGGACACCCCTATTTCCAAGATACTTTCTTGCAAATTTTTAACTTTTCAAACTCAGAAATTAAAAAAAAAAATTTGAGAAAATTTTGGAGATTAATCTCAAAATTTCTCAATTTTTGGCGGAAACATACTTCTTTTTATATACATCTCTGCATATACGTCAACTTGTCTACAATGACCCTAATACGACATCTTGGTTTACTGACTGAAAAGCAGCAAACAAACTGAAATTGAGTCGCTAAACATCAATTTACGGATCATTTTCTAGGTTATCACACACACACACACACACATTCCTCTGTGTTTGAGTGTGGCATGTCTCTGGATGTCCCCTCCCACTGACAGACGGATGGGGTTAATATCATAATTAAGCGCCGCGGCCGACGGTTCCTGTTTACCACTCGGTTGCTAGGCAGTGACATCAGCTGATCCCTCCCTCTCTCCTCTCTAATCCCTTACGCTCTCACTCGCCCGTCTCTCTCAGCTCTGTCTCTCCCAGATAGGCGGCGCAGACACGGGCAGTGTGGGGGTATAGGACGAGCAGAGAGCAGGGGGTAGATAGTAGCGTGTGTGTGTATGAGAGGCTGGCGGACAGCATGGTCTGGGTGTGAGGACACACTCCGGGAGCCTCCATGTAGAGCGACATCACCTGGACCTGTCCAGCGTTCAGAGAAGCAACAGGCGGCAGGAGCGCTCCCAGCAGCTCCTCGTTTTTTACCTTTTTTTTACCTTTTTTTTTTTTTTTTTTTTTTTTTTTTTTTTGGTTTTTTTTGGGGGTAACCCCGGGGGGGGCCCCCCGCCTGACCACCAGCCAAGGGGG